TAAAGTCTGATGACGAATCAGAGTCAAAGTGACATAGTTTCTTTATTGTCATTCGCACCACATGTGGTACATATGATGGAATGAGATTGTGTACTCAGGGTCCCAGTTACATACCACAATAAAATAAATAAATAAATAAATAAATACACAATAATAAAACAATAGAAAAGAAGGAGTCAAGTGTGTTCCACAAGGCTCTATCCTAGGTCCACTTCTTTTTATAATTTCATGTAAACAATTTAGATATAAAACATTAGCCACATGCTACAATTTTAGGTTGATTATACAATCTTGTTTTGCGCTGCACACATATGCTTTTTGAAAAGCTACAAGTAGCTTTTAATGTGGTTCAGTCCAATGTGTGCGTTACTGAAAACTCGTGTTGAATACCAATACATCAGAGCTTGTCTAAAACAGGGCAGCTGCCCCCCTTCATTAATTTTCAAGGCTCTGAGCTACAAGTAGTATCTCAGTATAAACATTTAGGTTTTATTACGGACGATGCTCATCACTGGTCATGTTTGTGTGCTGCTGCTATTCTTGGCCAGGTCTCTCCTGAAAGAGATTTTCAATCTCAGCGGGATTTACCAGCTTAAATAAAGGTTAAAAAATAGGGGTAATGTAAAGGCATGTCTAATCTTACAAATAAAAACTATGGGGTAGGGCTAACACTAGATATGGGATTTAGTCAAGCCTAAAACTAATGCTGGTTGTCTAAATCAGAGGTATTAATATTTTTTCCTTTTATGGCGATTTTCACTTAGTTCCAGCAATCAAAAGGTTAAGAGATGAATTAAAGCCTGGTCACACAGACTGTATATCATAATGTAAAGATCAAGTTCTTACTCTGGTTATTGAGTAACATGGCTTGTTGCTAATCCGGGATTTGTTTTGTCAAAATAATAATGTATTTTTCCCCATTTAAAAAACATTTTGAAACACCACCTAACCTCCTCTTACATCTCTAATAGATTTGTAGCGAAGGTAACACACTTAGCTGAAGCACCATACATATCAAACAAAACGTGAAAGAATTTAAGCTGAAGCACCATACATATCAAACAAAACGTGAAAGAATTTAACCTTAGTGATAAACTTGAATGTCAACTACTGGGTAACAACTAAAATAAGCAGTTTTTCACTTTTTTTTTTGTCTAGTTCTGTCAGCAGAAACACACATCAAAAGCTGTGGATCTATTGTAGTTCATCAGCAGATAAAGATATTTTTGTTTAAGCCCACATTTATAAATAAAATTCTAGATGTGTAACAACTCATCCTCTAGCTACAACATACTCAACTCTGGTTGACAGTGTTGGGTAGGAGCTAACAGGCTGTTAGCTAATGCTAACAATGGGACTAATGTTAGCATTCACAGGCTAACACAGCCCAGTACACATAAAAATCTTATGCGACGCAACACATCCGGGCTCTTTATCGCTAATCACCGTTTTACTCTGTACTTAATAGCACCAGTCACTAAATTTGACCATTGAGGAGATGGTTCCTCATGTAAATCACAATGGTTGTTTCATGGGGTAAACGATGTTCCGACCGGGCGGACGGTTCGTTAAAGCGCAGTTTTCCACTTCATCCCAAAAACCAGGAAATGCGAAGGACCTCAAACAGAAGAGTTGAATGCAGAAGCCTGGAAACTTCAACCGCGAGGATCAACCTTCGAAAACGTCTAGAATCTGCTCCGATCACTTTTATTCCAGTAAATTAAAACAAATCTAGATCAGTGATTTTGTTAAACAATGTCAGATTTTAACTTTATGTGTGCTGAAAATACACTCGTCATGATTTAGAACGTCTCTACTGTAGTTAGCTCAGCTATGCGCTAAACCTCCACACTGTAAATACTCGCTTTGCCCACATACCGGTAGATATCCGTCATAACTTTGCGCAGTATACGCCTCAAAATGTAGATAAATGTCCTAGTCATCAGTCTTAACATATTACCAGCAGTTTCTTTATTGGAGTATCTATACACGTAAGCCATTGAGATCGTCATCGTCTCTAGCTCTCTTGCCTACTATAATGGTGGTAAAGTGGCGTCATGCACTTCCAGTTGAGAAGTGTGGGAACCATGTGCTGGGCTTATTTATAAGACATGCTTGGCAGGTAGAGCTACTGTAGTGATTAAAATAATAATAAAATAGGTAAGCAAACTTGGTGATGATGCGATAGGTTGCTCATCATTTGCAAAGGGCTCCTGGTTACTTGTATGTTTTCAGGATTAAAGAGAAACTACTAGTCATGGGTCTCGTATCAGCCTTGGTGAACCCCTCAGCAATGACGACTTATCCGTTACGGTGTTATTAATATCTTAATAAGTTGGGAGTAAGCCAATGTTTGCCTAACTCTTAACCCAAAACCTGTTCCTTAAACCCTAAAATGGTTTATGGCTAAAGGGTCAGTGAGCTACAACTGTTGAGGACTTGTTGGAAACAAAACTGCAAGAAAATATGACAATTTTCACTTGGAGTGATATGGACCAAACTATTGCCCAAACTCCTGGAAAATATTTGGCCAAAATTATTTGATGTATAGCAGGAGTCTGTGACTTACTCACAAGGGAAATTTGTTGTGCAACATTCTGGTCCTGAGAACGCTCTTCACAACCCAGTGAGATACTAACTTAACCTTAAAATATGCACGTTATCAATGTTTATTTTCATTTATATGCTTCTAGGACTTGCGACCTCTCCAGGTTGTCCCCTGCCTATCTCAAAGTGATAGCTGGACATGGGCACCAGTGACGACCCGAAAAGGAAGAAGCGGGTGAAGGTAATGGATGAATAAACACGTTCTACATCATCAATGATTAGGGTTTAATGTAACTCAGAGTCATGGTTTTTGTAAAAATTGCTAGAAAGCAGCAAAAATTTCTCGCCTTTGTTTACAACTAAATTTAGCAATCGGTTCAAGAGTTCAGAAACTTTACGCACCATCTTACTAACTTTTGAATTACTCGGCACCGTTTTCTGCCTCGAAATGGCCCGACTTCTGAAGACTCTCATCCCTACGGCTTTTAGTCGCAGTTTCTTTACAAAAGGAGAGATGAACTGTACCCTTTCGCTTTTGACCTGGCACCTCGGATTCCAACGTACTGACTTTATTTACATCTAGGGATTATTTTACAGACTCATCTGTTGGTAATACGATCATAGAAGGCACTCGTATAATAAGTCATGTGGAGTGAAAAGGATAGAAGGATAGGAAAAGAAGAAAGTAGCCAAAGCCAACTGAGGTAAGTGGCATCACATTGGATCTATTTTGCCACTGAATCTTTAGCTTATTGTGATAAACAGTGCTGATTGTTGCCTTGAGGCTGTTAGCATCATCTAGCTAACTCAGCTTAATGGGGATTATGAACATGCACGTTGAGTTTATTCAGTTTGATGGAAATAGCCAGCTAGCCGAGCATAATGCTAGTTGTATGCGACCTCCATCAACCAGTCAACTTTTTAACCATGAACTTAATTTATTCGTTTTTAGCACCTGAATGAGACATTATGTGCAAGTGCTGAATAAGCTACACCGATGTCGAAGGGGTTAAAAATATAAATTCGGGCTGGCACAAGTCCAGTCAGGTGGATAAGCGGACAGATAAATGTATTTCATAGTCGAAATGTAATGCTGGAAGCCGATCACCAGTCGAGGCAGGCTCTCTGGGAAGAAAAAAGCTCGAGTTGGGAGAAGCAGCTCGGCGTTAGCTAGCACGTCGTCGGGCGTGTCGCGCCTGTCAGCGTCGAGGTTCGAATCCAGTAACAAAAACATCGCCTTTGAGACGGACAAGAAAGTTATTTTAGTCTTAACGCTGCAAATTAAAGCAGCAGTTTTCGGTGGGTGGAGGAGGGCGGAGTGGTTAGCTAGCTCTCTTAGCGTTAGCTCGATGATTCGGCGCGGACTGCACATGTCGATGACATCAAGTTAGCCAACTAAAATGATGGCATTTAAACTATACTGTTCCGCACGAAACTGCTTTTTTGTTGTTGTAAACGTTTAGCAACGAGCAGTACGTTAATGTGAAGCAAGCCGCGCAGACGTAAAGAGCCTACGCAACCACAGTTAGCATTAGCATGTCACAACGTAATAAAGCACACAAGCTAGCGACAGGTTTATGAACACAGCAACACAATGTTAAAAAAGATGATTTTTTTTAACGATACCTTGGTGATCAGACATTATGTCGAGCATTGTCGCCTCGCAGACAAGGCCCCGATCCAAAAAGGAGAAGCCGCTTTCGAGCTAGCCGGAGAGTAGCCGCCGTCCCTCGGAGGCTTTTCCCCGGCGTGGCTGCACCTTTACGCCGGGTAACTTCAGGGACTGGAAAACCAAGAGGCCCGGAGCACTGAATAAACCCCCGTTGAAGACGCTTCACTTCGGTTTGGAGTTGTAATGTATTCCAACGTCGCAGAAACGTAACAACGGCTACGGTTAACAGCAGAAACAAGCTACTGTTGGTCAAAAATAGTAATTCCTCCGTAGTGTGGGCCACTTAAGCTCCCCGTTCTTCGGCCTCGAATGGACTAAATACATGTTAAAAATGTAAAATCTCCTTAAAGTAGTGCAAACGCTAAATGCAGATCAGCATTAGTTACTCGAGTGAAGTTCATCAATTCTTCTCTGCGGGCACACAAATCCACTAGACTTTGGGCTTTATTCCGCGCGGCAGCAACCTCTCGAAGGAGGGGGACCGAGGTTAAATTGGATCAGTCGAAAGGACGCAGCGGGAGGGATATCCGCTTGTGATTGGTTGTTTAGGTTAATACCCGTTCACTGATTGGTTAAAACGATCAGAGTGGGTTGGACATGTCAGCCCCTCGGATGCAACCTAGCGCTTCAATCTTCGAAGCTGCTTGAAAGATTCTTGTGATGCATTCTGGGTAATGTAGTTTTTTAAGGCCAACGCACCACTACTTAATCTAGGCTCGTAAAATATAACAGAACTTCATTTCCCAGTGATTGGAAACACAATTTACCGGAAGTGTCGGCTGGAATGTTTTCCGAATGTGGAAAAATACAAACATGATACTTCACAAAGCTTGCTGGACTTGGCACAAATGTTACTTTTTTATTTGTGAAATTCACCTTTGAGCAACTTTACACGCTTTTCTTTGCCTTTAAACTAAATTAAAAAAAAAATCTTCCCCGTGCTTAATGTCGTTTGAATAGGTGGTAATTCAAGAAGTATGCTAACTAGCTAACGCTATCTGTGAAGCATGTTGTCTGAACTACTGCAGGGCATTGAGACTGGAGGCTTTCTTGTAATACAAGGTAAATTCTTTGAATGCTTTAAACTTGTAACAAAATACACCTGTGATCTCTGTTGTTTGAATATGATGCTTCATGTATGCTACGTGCTTCAATAGATTCGTGTAGTTACTCTGGAAGGCATCTTCTGAAGAGCTTCATCAATGCTGCCTTGAACAGGTACAGTGTTGTAGTGACTGTTAGAAAACCTGCTTACGTCTAATATTTACTAATAGAATGATAATTTAGATATAATAATCTCCCTTTCTTCTATTTGCTGTGACATTAGGACAGAAGTTGTTCACGTCCTTGCCTTTGATGTGAGTGAAGAAGAGTTGAAAGATGGATTGAAAACCTCAGATGCTCAAAGGTAGATAAAGCTGAATATCAGCAGAATTCTAATAATTCCTCGTTACATTTCATCTTTAAAACTTGTTTGAGCCTACATGTTGAGAAGGGTAAAGGCAACATTTCACTTAGATTTTCCTATTTTGATTCCACACATTTAAAGCAGGTGCATTTACATCAAGTTTGTGTAAATTTGGCAGTGGGGTTTTAAAGACATTTGAACTTTAATGCACTTTTACACACAGCGTCAGATCGGCACCATTTGTGTTTATAGGCAAATTAAATAACACAACATTACCACTAGATATCCTGATGCATGCTCAATAATCCAGGTAGAAAAAAAAAGAAGTTAAATCTGGAGGACCAGATTTAACTTTTTAAAATCACCACTAGATCTAACAAGGTTGAGTCAGGTCCTCTGAAAGCAATTATCCATTGTTAACAGGGGCGGAGGTCTCCATGTTCAACTGTTCCCCTCTTACGATGCTGTTATTACGAGTTTCACTCAACCCCCTGTGAATAGCAAGCAGCCATCAGGGCACTAACAATCTATTGTTAGTCTGATGGTCCTCCTTTATCATGTGAACAGCTAGCCAACCAGCAAACTGGTTGATCCACTATGAGAAGGTGCTGCTCATAAGACTGAGTTTATTACAGCTCCTCAGACTGAAGAAGTCTTTTGGATAAAAGACAAAATGTTTCAAGAAGGAAGAACTCATCCAGAGGACCTGACTTAACCTGGTTAGATTTATCTACCTGAATTGTTGAACATGCAGCAGGATATTACCACTAGGCTTTTTTACTTTTTCTTTTTTTACCGCTGGGAAACCTTGGATGTTCTGTATCTGCTGGACCCGGTAGATACAGACCCGGTTCTGGAGGGCAGTCATCGTCCGTTTCCGCGGTCGTTATTATCATCATGCTGCTAACGGGACTGCGCCGCTAACAATTTGGGGGAGTGGTGGCGCAGAGGTTGGAAGATGGGCCTGTTATCGGAAAGTCGCAAGTTCAACTCCCGGTACCGTCAACATCAAAATGTGTGTGGAAAAGGTGGAACACCCACACCTCCCTTCACCCTCATTCGCCCCACTCTGGGCCCCTGAGCAAGGCCCATAACCCCCACCATCTGCTCCCTAAACAGGTCTCTTGAAAATGAGTTCTCGTGGCTCAATGAGACTACCTGTATAAATAAAGGGTAAAAAAAAAAAACACAAGACCACGCCACTCACAGAACCATGCTGGTAACAGGACCATGTTGCTAAGAGAACTACACTGCTAACAGAACCATGCTGCTAATGGGACCATAATGCTAAAAGAACCACACTGCTAACAGAACCATGCTGCTAACAGAACCATGTTGCTAAGAGAACCACACTGCCAACAGAACCACGCTGCTAACAGAACCATGCTGCTAACGGGACCATGTTGCTAAGAGAAC